TCCATGTTTCGCCTTTTAACCATACCAAAATATTTAAGGAAACAATATTTTTGAAGAATTCCTTATTAAAAATTATGGAATAATTTTCCCAAAAGCTTGGGACCTGACAAGTGCATTCAAAAAATCGTTGCAGAAAGTATTTCAAGAATCTTTTCTTCCTTTCATAAATTGTAATCTATTCTTAAATTCCGTGGACTAACCTAACTGTCCTTTCCCAACTTTCCTGCTGTTCTCTTTGTGTTTTTTACGGAATGTTTACAGTGAAAATGGATTAAATTAAACCAAATTGAAATTGTTCCAATTAGGGAATAAGTCTTACTAACAAAATCTAATCAAAGCTTTCTTAAAAAAACCAATGAATTTAAATTTAATTAAGATTTGTAGTACCTCCTAATACTGAGATTCTCTTGATCTTTTCCACTTCTTTTTTACTTTCGCCACATTTGTTTGAGGCAGTGACCACAAATTCGTAATCTCGACCAATCTCTAAATCGACAGCAACCTCACGAACTGAGACACTAGTTATATCCTGTACTTTAGCCCATTCATGCGACGTGTCTCCATCATTTACAATTCTTTGGTACACAGTGTACTGTGATCGGCGCACCACTATTCTTGACTTCTTCCACTTTTAGATTCACTTTCATTTTTTGTCTCAACCGGTAAGTCGTTTATTAAGGCGCCTTCTGGAATACCTTAAAATATAAAGAAAGGGTATTATAAGCAAAACTGTCCAATTACACACTGCTTTAAAATGTACCTGCCTCAATATGTTTAGCAGAACATGATCAAAAGTGAATTTGACCTCAAATCCCCAAAGAACTAAAAAAAAAAGCATCTATATCGATCCACGTATAGCGTTTCGATATGTTTTCAGTTTTTATTCCTTTGTTATCGATTTTGAGAGTATCGCGTGAGATGACATTAAGGGTCGGTCATATAAACGAAGTCTTACTTACGCGGTGGTTTAAGAAATGATTGGACATTTAGACTCTTTTTAATTAGTGGGTTAATAAAAAAAAATCTATTGAGTGCTTTTCCAGTCTAAGCTTATGCTTTTGAAATTGTTCATAAGAAATGGTGTTTCATAACAGCAATGAGCGAACTAAAAAGGGCTTAGAAACGAGGTTTCGTTGAACACGGGCTAGACTCCGTTTAAATAACTGGCCCTAAACGCGTTTCATAGAAATATTAAGACAGGCGTTTACCAAACGCGTACGTTGAACTAAAACTGCACAAAAACGCTGTATTGAAAATCAATAAAAGATCGTAGCAAAACATTTATTAAACAACTAACCTATCTGTCCTACACGGGACCGTCTTGGAAGCCAGGGTGAAACCATTTTCAGCTGTGCAGTTATATAGTCCAAAATCTACACTCAATTTATTGTCAATTAACGGTGCTTCAGTAGCTTTGACCGAACTAAAGTTGGTTCCATCAGTGGCTTGTACCAGGTGAGCGTTGGTATAGGAACGGCATCTGACTTGCAAGTCAACGTTACAGTGTGCCCAATACAGGACATTGGGCGAGGAAGAAGTAAGGCCTTGTATGACGGCTGGCCTGTCAATTATCATCGGAAAAATATGTTATTATTATCACATCGTCAAACCATTCTTACCACCTATGAGTGGTCTGCACTTTGTTAGAATACCAATTCATTTTTATCTATTTATTTATTTTAACATGCAAATAAGGCATTAAAGGGGATATAAATTCACCGCTCATCCAGTATAGTGAAAGGAAAATAAATGGGCACGAAAAGGAACTTTGACTAATTCGAAGTCGTCTAACTGAGACATTGTAGGGTAATAAAAAATGACTCACGCAGGATGTTTTATCATAATTTATTAAATGTGAATAAGGGCGTTCAGCTACTTTCGGCCTGTTACATAGTTATCACTGCTTTAGTTGCAGATGCAAGGAAGGATATTATCCTCCTGATATTCGACAGGGTCTTGCTTTTCCATGAACCCAAGTATATTTCAACGTTCTTCTCAGACTCCCTTAGAACTTTCTTCTGGTATGTTGATGCTGCCGGTAGTAAACTCTACATCCGCCCCGGCCTCCCTCTGTTAAAGGCCTTAAGTGGATGGCGTACAGGAGAACAGATTGCCAAGTTAATTTTTTAGTTAGCTGAGTGACTTTCGAGTGATTGCCGGGCTAGTCCACACCAAGTCAACATTCGTGGTTTACGATATCTGAGAAGATGCTGCCACCTACAAAGGGTTAGCCCTCTGGTGTGCGAAGGTACGGTGTCAAAGAACCAACAGCTGTACTTATCTCTGGCAGTGACCACCCTTTGTCGGTGTTTATCTCCAAACAGCAGTCAACTCGGAGGTCACGTTCTGAATGTGTGGAGCAAGATTGAGCTATAAGAACAAAGTGTTAAGTAAAACTTTTAAATCTGAATCTGAAGCAAGAATATTTATTTAGAACTGTAAACAACAGCGTCTCGTAGACTATAAACTTAGAGACAAACAAAAACAGATTCTCCAGTCAAGCCCTGTACTCATTTTTTAAACTCAAAGTGTTTTTTTACAGTGTGGCAATGTTGTAGAATAAATTCCTCAGCATATTAGAGCACTGATAACGCAGTCATATCAAATCTTTAATAAAGATATTCATCGTCTTTTATTCGTCTGATACCACCACCAGGAAAAAGAGAACACCAGGTTTTGTGTTAAATCTCGGTAACTTGTGTTTCTATCACCGTGGCTAAAAAGGAGTATACAACACGTCACTGTAGTAGGTATAGGCTGGAGAAAAAATTATGTCTGGCAGGTGTCTGGTAGGTAAGACTATATCAAAGATGCTCGGGTACCAATGCTATTCCACCCTTTGAATTAGTTTCAATCCTGACATTATAAGTTGATATTTTGCGGATGCAATGTCGATCGACGAGGGCCAAGCAACAGCTAAAATCAAACTAAAGAGGAGGGTTATAAAAACATTAGTAAGGTACAAAAAAGAAAGAAAGACCCTGAGCTAAAAACAACGAAAACATAGATTTCCTAAAAAGCACGTCGACATGGGAAAAGAATGGCGTGACGTTTTCCAACGAAGGCCAAAGTAGACCGATAAAGTTTTAAGTTCTACTCAGTAATATACTCACATTTAACGGTAAGTTCAAATGTTTTTTCACCACTTCCTGCAGAGTTGTTGGCTCTACATATATATTCCTGCATCCGCCTTGCAGGCTTATAGAACTGAAGATGAGATAAGCCTTTTCAAATCCAGAACTCATAACTTGAGTGGTACTAATACTGATCCACACCACATCTGATTCTGGTGTCCCTGTCGCAATACAGCTTACATTGACGGGACCCCTTGTCTGTAGCTTATATTTGCTGTCACTGGATGTGATTCTTGGTATTTCTAAGATAGAATTCGAACACAGATGAGATGTTAACTCATTTAATGGCGCTTAGTTACAAGTTTCTGGCGGTAACAAAAGATGGCTCGTTGAGGGCAAGAATGAGTTACTGTTAGAATTTTTGCGATCAAAGTGTGGCTTGTGAATTTAATGGACCGGGGAAGAGTTTCGCCTTGTGTAGTTTTTATGCAATCAAATGAGGCCAAAACCATAAAATAATTATAACGCACTAAAAAGAGTTATATTTCATTACATTACATTACAAAAAAATGGATGAAAGCTTTACAGGAATATTTTCCAAATACTTGATAATGACTCCCAACCGCTGTCACAAAACATGAATTAGCAATTAGCGATCATTGTCTAGAACATGACGACTATTCTGTAGCTATTTACCTCCAAGCAAAATTTCTACCGTAAAAACAATGAAGTGTCAAAATAAACTGTTGATTCTGGACAACAGCTAAGCTTTGTCTGTTATTAACCTGCATTTACCGATGTATAACCAGTAAACAGTTTTTTGTTTACAAATTTACAATGTCTTGTGCTTTTTTATTTAGCTAATAAGTTCATAAATTAGCAGTAACACTAAATCAAATGGTATTTCAAAACATAATGTTTACAGATACTGAAGAATTGGCAATTCCCTTGGAAGGGTGTCCCCGAAAAAGCGGAAAACATTAATGCCTTCAAAGTTTTATTTGTCGGAAAGAAAACACGACGGCCGTTCGGTCAGTGCGCGCTTAAATATGTAATCGTCAGTAGCAATCACAATCATTATTGTTTTCGTTTTTTGCGCTCAATTATTTCACTGTTGTAGTACCCACTTTAACAATTAGTTAAGTACGCGGCTCGGTAAACCACTTTGCTGAAGAATTTTTATTCATCTACAAAAAATGTATTTTTGTTATACGTGAGGTCTTCACGAAGAAAAAAATTCTACCTTCATAGTACTCGATCGAAAATATCTGTATGAAGAAAGTGTACATCACCTTCAACAATCAGTCTGGCGTAATCAAATTGACCACTATCTTGTACATTGTTTGCATATAATTGACACCCATAAGTATCTGTATCATTCAGCGTAATGCCACTGAGATTGAAGATGACTTGACCAGAGGATGAGTTACCAGTACGGCTTCCAGTCACTCGTCCAGTAAAACTTTGATGTACATATACCGTTTTTCCAAAGGTGTTTAGAAATAATATTCTCCCATTTTTCTCTATTGTGGCTGCATTAGTTGCCTTGAAACCAAATTCAATTCCCGCAACGTCTCCTGAGAATCTCCAGGTGAAGTTCACAGACGAGTTAATCAGGCTTCTTACAGTTATTCCTTGATATGGCAAAATTAACTGTATTTTGCCAACTGAAAAAAAAAGAAGGAAAACTCAGAATTTTTTTTTTTTTTTGATGTCCCAGACCTCGAGTCAATTACACTGTAATTAAACTTTTGCAAGTGTTATTTACAAGTAAAGCCATTGTTTTAAGGTGTTTCGATATAGTTTTTCAGAGGCTATACTATCCTTGTCTGATCACTATAAAATTTTCACCAAAGATTGACTATAGATTGAAATTTGTCAAAATGTAGATTTTGGTAAAATCTATGTTACTATGACAACAATAAACCAAAAACTTTGAAACTGATAAACGCCTAATTTTGCGCGATATAGACCAGCTACTGAAAATCCAACACTAAGAACTTTTGGTGTTTAGCAAATAAGGCTCCGTAAGAAGCAAAAAATTCTGTATGTTTGAATTCGACTACAACGAAAATAAATATCAATCCTTAAATTTGCAATAGACATATGTTCATGACTAGTACATTTCAGTGTGAGTAGTGTTAATGCTTTACATTCAAAAGATGCGATAAATTCAAACTAAAATGTACTAGTCATGGAGATATGTACAGTGCGCATTATTTTGGAAATATGAGCATAACGTCAAAACAGTGAATGTTGTAACAAATATTTTTGGCAATGTTCGTTAAAGTGAATCAATCTTAATAAAAAGGTTCAGACATTATTATACATTATGGAGATTATGTGAAGAGATTTTAAAAAAAAAAAAAGTGCAGTCGTTTCCGGAGATATACAAAAAGCCCTAAAAGTTTAAATTTTGAATGAAGTTGCACTTAGACAGGTGGTGAGAAAACGGGTTTAGTTTTAAAGATCACAAGAACGAAAATACACCAAAATTTCCTAGCATAAAATATGATATTAAGCGGCATTCTGCCGCTACTTAAGAATAATTTGAGTCATTTATAACGTTTTTATTAAACAATCTATCATGGCTATTGAAAATTTAAGATTTGAAATATATTTTCGTTTAGTCGAATTCAAACACACAGAATTTTTACTTTTTACGCAGATTCTTGGCTAAACACAAACTTTGAGCTCTTAGTGTTGGATTTTCAGTAGCTGGTCTAGATCACAAAAAATTCGGCTTTTATCAATTTCAAAGTTTTTGTTTATTGTTGTCATAGTAATATCGATTTTACTTAAACTACATTTTCACAAATTTTAATCCATAGCCAATTACTGCTGAAAATTTTATAGCGATCGAACAAGGAAAAAACTTTTAAGGCGATTGAAAAATATCGGTATGGCCTCTGAAAACTGCATCGAAACACCTTTAAGTCTTAAAGCAATAACTACACTTGTAAGTTCTATAAAAACTAACAACTGGAGTGAAAAAAAAGGCATTTGTTTGAAAAAAAATTAGGCTGACCAACTCAATGTATTAAAAACTGTCACATGCATGTTTAGAATTAAGAAAAAATTTCTCCTTTTTTTCACTACTACCGTATTAAATTCCACTTTCAATGAATAAATTCTTTTCAATTGTTAAGAATATTAACCCGCTGTACAAGAGGGGGCTGGTTGCCAACCCCCCGAGGTTTTTCTGAGTTTTTTTTTCCAAGAGGATAAAACATCAGCTTCTGACGCTTTTCAGTAACTGTTCGTTTATATCTCGCGCATTTTAAGACAAGTTCAGTGATGGTCAGTTTCTATGGTTACGAGATTAGACGTCATAAGTAGTAAGTAGTCAAAACCATTTTTGAGTGAAAACACTTTTTTTTTTCAACTTCTATCTAAAATAAAAGTAAATCTTGAGGCTACAATCATGCAAAGTGTGCCTTGTACCACGGTGGGGATATGAATTTGCGTGTACGTCCGATGGTTAACTGATGAAACATTCGTTACACTGATGATGTTGACTGCTCCTTTAAATGAGCTACGTATAAATATTTTTTCTCGTATTTTTCTAATAATGATAATAATTAATATTTATCTCTTTTTATGATGGCGTTTCATTTCAGTAATCACATATACACCCAGCAACATTCATTTATTGCGGCCTGGACAGGGTAGCTACCTATTTTTGTCTTAAAAGCATCTGAGAACTCGATTTGTTGGGAAGTTTGTTTTGACATTTAGAAGTTTGTTTCGCTGTTTTACCAGTTTCCTGTCCCCACCGCGTAGCACCCTATCCATGCTAGCAAAGTGAAACGGCGGCCAAAAGTTTTTATCCGCGAATTTGTAAGCGCTAGAAAGTGAAAATCTATGATTCTTTCTGAACGCGCTTTAAAAGGAAATGGCGATAAAAGTGTTAAAGAGTTTCTTAGCACTCTTGAACCTGCGACCTCTCGGTTGGACATCCGTGAGCGTTACGTATGGCAGTCGAGAGTCGGACGCGGGTGCGAGGACAGTTTAATATTTTTTCTGTATAAGTATTTTGGGAAGGTAGCTACGTTTAAGTGAGGATTTGAGGGAAGACAAAGTTCTTCATGCTCATTTCATGTGTTTCTGCATCACTGTCGTTCCAGGGCCTAACCAGTTATCAGCTGTGGATTATGCATGAACACAATCCAGGAATCTTGTCACGAGGAGACAATTAGCTTCAAAGTGCCCTAATCAATCAACTCAGCAAAATCGGCTTTAGCAGATTACTTTCCTGTCGTAGTTCACTACTTTTCTTAACGAGGTGAATGCAGCAAAAGAGGCGAGCAAACTGAATCACAATTGAGGTTATAATTTGCCTCGGTAAAGAGGCAAATGAAAAAAGCGATTTGCTTACCCAGGTAGACAAACTGAATAAAGTGACTGGGACTGACTGACAAATTATTCGACGGACATAAGTATACGTATCTTTCGCTTGCCATCGTAAGCATCAGTGATACATTGGCTATGCTTAGTCTAATCTGGTTAGTTTTTAAAGGCGTACGAGCTTGTGCGTTTACGATTGTCGTATTCGTTGCTCGCGTGAGGACGAAAAGCCCTAAATGCATAATTAGGTTTATATGCCGTCCTACACAGACTCGATAGATAGCCTAAATAAAAGTAATAATATACACATACCTCCAAACGGAAGAAAGATCAGTACGAGTAGAATAAAATCCATAAGGCTTCAAACCAACATTTGATATACATTTGATATTCTTTGCAATCATGAGCAGTGAAAAAATATTTGCCATTAACTCCGACTCTCCAAAGACGAAGGTTGTACCGACGCAGATTGGAATCAAATTCCAGCTGAAGCACAAAGGTCAGTATAACTAAAATAACATCGTTGGCGGAAGTTAGCAGTCACATCATTAACTATGTCTTTCATTTCTTCAATTTTTAAATTAAATTATTATTATTTTTTTTTTTTTTCTATCTAAAAATGTATTTTTTCCTCGCAAACTCCTCTATTTTCACTGGCATTTAAAAACAAATGACATAAAGTTGGACGCTCTTTAAAAATATTCAATATTTGGTTTTGATTAGCATATTCGAAGCTTAAGTTGGTCATCTCTGAGGGTCGGGAGCGGACTCTCTCCTATCCCCACTCCTCCTCAAACGGCTAAAATTTCAGACTATAAGAGCTAAAGTGAATAGCTTTTGGTAGCTCTTTAGAGGTCTTAAGCTTTAAAATGACACGCCCTCATTTTTTTCTTTTTCTCTCTTTTTTTGTTCAAAAAGCGATGGACAGTCGCTTAAAGCATTAAATATTAAAAATATTTTTGTGAATCAGAAAATGTAAAACCCTTTTCTTTTAACTCCATCGCCATGTTTTCAAGTTATGTATGATTTTAAGAAAAATAGTCACATTACATATCACGTGATTTACTGAAGACGACGAGGTCTTTCGGTCTTTCGAGCTGTATCAAGTAATCATATCTTCTTGGTCACAAGCTACTTAGGGAACTAGCCACACCTTCTAAGGATGCTACAATTGAAAACTACGTTTAACTTCGCTCATTCGTACCATTTTCAGATATCTTAGATTGTTGGAAGGCGACGAAGAATGGCAGTTGTTAGATTTCCTTGTCCGCCTATTTATTTAGTGGTGGGGCATAGAATAATGTATTGCGGCAAGAGCTCATTCTCTCTTGGTTGAGGACATGTACCTCGCCCGCTAATAAATGCAGTCTTAGCTTGAGCCATTGTTGGCTAAAGTGCTTGTTTTGCCAGGCTCTCTTTGTCCGTTATTCAATTGTTAGGGACCGGAAACAGTGTAGTAGACTGTATCTTAGATCCTAAATAGCAGAATTCTTGGACCACTTCGTGGAGCGTTTCCATCCAGTTTACATCGGTAATACCGGTGGCTAGTTTTAAAAAGAATAGCGAGTTTTGTTAACGCCGATGATAACAGCGGATGCCAAAGAAGTTTCATTAAGCATCAGCGGCAAATAAAAACTCACGTATGGCCAATTAACTTGCTTAATTACTTTTTTCGCGCAAGCTTTTAACTAGATTGAAGACCGAGTCACCTCTCTAACTGGAGGAAACCAATAACCGGGAAAAAGAAAACAGCGAAATAGGGGCGGGGGCAATGACATATCTGCACCTCTTAACTCTTATTTGGAACCTTGTGTATTTGAAACCCAAACAATGGTTCACATCAGGAGCCTATAGGCTTCTGCTCACATCTCATCTTTAAGAGACTCTTTGAACGTCACCAAGGATCAGAGGGACAGCTAATTGCTTTAATGGCTTTCAGCACTTTATATCATCTTGATCTGCTCGCGATGTCAAAAGCTTTTGTTGAATCAACATAGGGGAAAAGTGGCCTTTGCTGTTCGCAACTTTCGCATCCGGTTGAAGGAGAGCCCGGGGTGTACTCCCACAGATTTTGTAAAGGTGTTTGCTGTCCAGGGTCTTAAACCCGACTCTATTTAAGGTACTGAAAGTGTATACCCAATTTAAGGCCCGAACCTGAAACTGACACCCTATTCCAGGTGGGCAGGGAGGGACGAATAAGGTTTTAATAGCAACACACAAACCTTCATTAAATTACTTTCCCAATATGGCTCAGTTTTTCACAGATAAAGATTGATTTTGTTCATCGTGTCGCTGGCATTTACGCCTTGAATTTTGGC